AAACATCATTATATAAACTCTTTTCTTTGAGTCAGGTCTCTTTTGACGTTATGCAAAAATTCATATATAGATATTAGTCATGGTTGATGAGTTTAACCTTTAGCTAGAACAAAAGGACATTGTGATTGCATTCTTATATGGATGATGAGGAGACCATCTACACGAAGCAACCAAAATGATTTGAAGTAGAAGATAAGAAGGATTGTATATGGTCCGAAAAAGTCCTCAAAGCAATGGAATAATCATTTTGATAAAGTTCATGAATAATATTAGTTTTAAACATATTAGGTATAATACTTGGATATACTTCCGGTTTCTTGCAAAAGGTCTTTCCGTAGTATTGATGAGTTCATTAATTAATAATATTAGTTTTAAACATATTATGTATAATAATTTCTTGCAACAAGGTCTTTTCATAGTATTGTTGTTGTATATTGATGACATTTTGATAATTTAATATTAAAAAATAATAAAAATTAAGGGTGAACTGAACAGTAAATTTGATAAGAAGGATTTGGAGTTGCTAGAAAGAGGATTGATATATATTAGAAAAATATCATTATTTAGTTAGATTGCATTATACTACGCCAGGAAAAGGAAAGTACAATAATAAGTTTTTCTTTTGTTTGTTTAAGGTTTTAGTATTTTTTTTTTAGAATTACATCTTTTTTCTCAAAATGGTAAATAAGTCTAACATATCAAACTCCTTTTGATTTTCCAAGTCAAGTATCCATCTACTGAATGTCCCGAAACAGGATGGTGAGTTAATCTTATGCTATTCTTTCAGCAATTCTTTGATGTTCTGATAGATATATATTAACAAAATCCTACTCACACCTCAACTACTAAGAAGAGAAAAAGAATTAAATATTTTTCAAATTCAAAATGAATTAAACATTATTCTTCAGATAAATTCACACTGTACTTCTTTTTCGAAATATAAAATACATGTAAAGCAACGAACTAATCTAAAACTGATTTATAACATTTTTGTCGAGAAGAACTTGACGAATCATGTTGTCCAAATTAAGAAATGAAGTTCCGTAGGGGCCAGAAGCAGCACTTTTTGCCAATTCCTTCCATTGCAGGGCTTTCTCTTTCATCTCCTTACCCTTTTCACCATCCATCAACTCCTTCACAAGGCTCTCTATTTTGTCTCTCTTAACATCTTCAATCTCCAACCCAACCCCCCACTCTTTGCAGGAGAACCTGCAATTGGTCTGTTGCTCCGCAAAGAAAGGCCAACATATCATTGGAACACCAGCACACAAACTTTCTAAGGTCGAATTCCAACCACTGTGTGTCAAAAACCCTCCAATCGCAGGGTGATTCAGCACCTCCTCTTGAGAACACCAACTGGACAAAAGGCCTCTATTTTTTGTTTCTTTCACAAACTCTTGAGGTAAAACAGCATTTTCACCAGCCACAAGATCTGGTCTTATGACCCATAAAAAGCTTTTGTTGCTGTTACCAAGTCCCCATGCAAACTCAACCAGTTGCTCAGCAGTCATAACTGCGATGCTCCCGAAATTCACATAAACAACACTGTTAGGTTCTTTGGTGCCGAGCCACTCCATGCACTCAGTTTCCTCCTTCCAGAGATTGGACTCTATTGCATTCAGTTTTTTGTCATCAACACTCTTCACAAGTAAATTCAAAGGACCTATGGAATAAACAGGAGGCAAAATAGACGAGAACGCTTCCAACACATCATGCTCTAAGGTATCAAACGTGTTCAAAAGTATCGCAGAAGCTCTTCGAGCCCTCTTGCACTCCCCTTGCACGAAATCAAGCATAAGATCATTTGAATCTGTGGTCCTAATAAAACTAGGAATATCCTTCAATCGAATTTCCTTGATGCCTGGTATCCAATCGATGGTACTCTCCAAATACCCGTTCGTGACATCACTTGAGTCTACATAGCAAACACACAAAAGTTATAACTTACTAAATTTAAATAACATAAATACCAAACATATAAAAGATCACGTAAGAGTAATGGTATTTTGAAAGTCTTTATTTTGTATATTATTATAATATGTATATACATACATATATTGATGCTTCAAAACTATTAAAACAAATTTTTAAATAAAATCATTTAACAATTCTTTCTGAAAAAAGAAGAAGACTGAAAGCTATACTTAACTGTCGTATTGACGGTTAGACACATAATAGATATACTAAATACATCAATTTTAGGGGTTGAGTGGACAAATAATTACCCTCATGAAAATAAAAAAAAATTAATTCATAAAATGAGTATGGTTCCAAAAATTTATGCACATAAAATGAGGTAACATGGATCATTAAATAAGATTAGGGCAAATTACCTTTCAGCGGTGTTATGCCCTTTTGAATGAATTGTTCGTATTGAACATAACACATGAAGCCACATGCACTGGTTGTCCAAAACAGGACCTCAGGGACACCCAATTCTTGGGCAGCATCAACGGTGAAGCTCATGACGCCGTCAGAAACTATGCAGGTCACCGGAGGGGCATCTGAGTTATTAACCTTAGCGAGAAGGTTTCTGAAGTGAGGGAGGCAAGTTCTTCTGGTGGAGTCACAGAGGGAGGGAATATCCTGTGTGACATCCACATCAGAGTCGGGTAGACCATCGGGGATGGTTTCAAAACGAAATGAAGGGAGACCATTAAGGGAAGAAGTCCCTCTGGATTTGAGAAGGCGTCTGTGGTTGTACTCTGTGTTAACAAAGGTTATGTGGAAGCCATTGAAGTGAAGGAGTTTTGCTAGCTTTAGCATTGGGTTTATGTGACCCTGAGCTGGGTATGGAATGCACACGGCATGGGGTTTATTCATTGTTCCCAAAGAACCCATCTTTGTTATCTCTTCCTTAGATTGCACTTGTGTATGAAAAACAATATGCAAGTGGTAGCTGCATCCAACTCGGCTATCAAACGTTTGATTTTATAGTGGAACGATGGCGGTGGTCGTTTTCAAATTAATGTCGATAGCTCCTAGGTACGACTTCAACTTCAACACCACAATCATAATCATATTGGAGAGGTGGATCTTAAGGAGGAGTTGCTTGCGTACATGCCTCTTGTAACATCCACTTTTTAGGAATATTTAATACAGAACCAACTTTAAAATAATACTTTTATTTATATATAACAATGGTATTGTTTGACATATGTTTCCTATTGCTTTGCTTTTGTCGTGACGTGTGACATGGGAGATGAGGTGGGTTTCGAGATATTTTTTGTTTTGAAAAAGTTTTAATCGAGTTAAGAAAATAAAGATGCTGTAAATATACAAAATAATGCTATACATAAAATACTATAAAATGTGATGGTATATTAATTTATATAAATAGTATTTTTAACATATATTCGACAAATTAAATTAGATCTCTTTAATAATAATAATTTAATATAACTTTACATTAATATCATTTTAGAAAACACGATCATACAAACTCAATAAAAATACATTTATAGTTCTTCTAGAGTTTTTTTTTTCAAATTTAAAGTAAAAATTAAGAATTATTTAATAAAAAATAAAAATTATATTTTATTAAAATCATGTCACTAAATATAGCTATTTTTTTTTCTAGTGTATTAAAAACTCGTTTTCTTAAATTGGTAAATAAGTTTTAATAATGCCTCCACCCACAAATCAATCTAAAAGTCGTAAAGTTTGACTGGCAGAGCATGTGCTCCCGAAGTTAATTGAAATGAACAATCGTCATCTTGACCTCATGGGATTGAATGATAGCTTTTCTGATGAAAAACAAGTAAGAATTTGAACCAGAAGATAAATAGTGAGAGAATGAAAAAGAAAATAATAAAAAATAAAATCATTCATAAATCTATCTTTTTTATATTTTCTAATAATTAAGTGTCTAGCTTTTTTTGTCTCCGTTTCTACACTTTACATCTTTGAAAACAAACACCTCATGTATTTGCACAATTTTATTTTCGTCAAATATTAGTTGTTGTAGAAAGCAATTTATATGAACCTTTTCACTAAATTATATTCGTCGGTACATTTTTCCATTTTCCTATTTTATATTTCTTTTTACACCAAAATAGGATACACTTTCATTTAAGACCTGTACTTGTTGTCATTGGTGACGAGAACAAATAAAAAATATATAAAAAAAGTGATTCAATAATTGAAAAATATTATTAATTGATAATGCTGCCGTGAACAGTGTAGAAGATTTGACGATCATGAAGGTTTGATTATTCTTTTCATTCTCCAAACTCAATTGCGTTTTGATTAACAGAACTAAAGTCAAAAGTGAGTTTATAAAAAATGATAAATGAAGTAAAAAACAAAGCAAATGGCGTCTGTGCTGTCACACCGACGCCTATTAAGATTCTGTATGTTTAACGCCGGCTATTAAAGGGAGGACCGACACGTTAAACTATCAATTACAGGCTTTCTTCACTGTTAACGATCAATTTCTTTTAAATATATTTAAATTTTACTTACAATATAATTAAAGTTTAAATTTATTTCAACCCGTGAGAAGCTTATTAATTTTATGTTTAATCTCGAATTATTTTTTACCTTAATGACGAAATATTTAGAGATTTTCTATTTTGTGCCAAAACAACTGTTTATTAGAATTTTATTTTCATTATTTTTTAAATTTTTAAATAATTTTAAAATGTTTTTAGAATTTTATGTGTTATAAAGTTTTATTAAAGATTAAATTAATTATTAACATATTTTTCTTTCACTCTTTAATTGATTAAGTTTTGTTCATATTTTTTACGATTTTAGTTAATATAAGATTTATTCATTTTTAGGTATTTAATGTAAATAACTAAATTATTTTTAATTTAATTTTTTCTATAATATTGTTTAAGTAGTTAATCCACTATGAATCATGATGTCATATGTATTTATTAATTTTTTTAAAAAAATTTCTGAATTAAAAAATTATTTACATATTAAATTAATATTGTATCATATAATAATATCACGTCACGTGTCAAGTATAATGTTAAAATATAATTCAAATAAAATTAGATCNGAGCTGGGTATGGAATGCACACGGCATGGGGTTTATTCATTGTTCCCAAAGAACCCATCTTTGTTATCTCTTCCTTAGATTGCACTTGTGTATGAAAAACAATATGCAAGTGGTAGCTGCATCCAACTCGGCTATCAAACGTTTGATTTTATAGTGGAACGATGGCGGTGGTCGTTTTCAAATTAATGTCGATAGCTCCTAGGTACGACTTCAACTTCAACACCACAATCATAATCATATTGGAGAGGTGGATCTTAAGGAGGAGTTGCTTGCGTACATGCCTCTTGTAACATCCACTTTTTAGGAATATTTAATACAGAACCAACTTTAAAATAATACTTTTATTTATATATAACAATGGTATTGTTTGACATATGTTTCCTATTGCTTTGCTTTTGTCGTGACGTGTGACATGGGAGATGAGGTGGGTTTCGAGATATTTTTTGTTTTGAAAAAGTTTTAATCGAGTTAAGAAAATAAAGATGCTGTAAATATACAAAATAATGCTATACATAAAATACTATAAAATGTGATGGTATATTAATTTATATAAATAGTATTTTTAACATATATTCGACAAATTAAATTAGATCTCTTTAATAATAATAATTTAATATAACTTTACATTAATATCATTTTAGAAAACACGATCATACAAACTCAATAAAAATACATTTATAGTTCTTCTAGAGTTTTTTTTTTCAAATTTAAAGTAAAAATTAAGAATTATTTAATAAAAAATAAAAATTATATTTTATTAAAATCATGTCACTAAATATAGCTATTTTTTTTTCTAGTGTATTAAAAACTCGTTTTCTTAAATTGGTAAATAAGTTTTAATAATGCCTCCACCCACAAATCAATCTAAAAGTCGTAAAGTTTGACTGGCAGAGCATGTGCTCCCGAAGTTAATTGAAATGAACAATCGTCATCTTGACCTCATGGGATTGAATGATAGCTTTTCTGATGAAAAACAAGTAAGAATTTGAACCAGAAGATAAATAGTGAGAGAATGAAAAAGAAAATAATAAAAAATAAAATCATTCATAAATCTATCTTTTTTATATTTTCTAATAATTAAGTGTCTAGCTTTTTTTGTCTCCGTTTCTACACTTTACATCTTTGAAAACAAACACCTCATGTATTTGCACAATTTTATTTTCGTCAAATATTAGTTGTTGTAGAAAGCAATTTATATGAACCTTTTCACTAAATTATATTCGTCGGTACATTTTTCCATTTTCCTATTTTATATTTCTTTTTACACCAAAATAGGATACACTTTCATTTAAGACCTGTACTTGTTGTCATTGGTGACGAGAACAAATAAAAAATATATAAAAAAAGTGATTCAATAATTGAAAAATATTATTAATTGATAATGCTGCCGTGAACAGTGTAGAAGATTTGACGATCATGAAGGTTTGATTATTCTTTTCATTCTCCAAACTCAATTGCGTTTTGATTAACAGAACTAAAGTCAAAAGTGAGTTTATAAAAAATGATAAATGAAGTAAAAAACAAAGCAAATGGCGTCTGTGCTGTCACACCGACGCCTATTAAGATTCTGTATGTTTAACGCCGGCTATTAAAGGGAGGACCGACACGTTAAACTATCAATTACAGGCTTTCTTCACTGTTAACGATCAATGTCTTTTAAATATATTTAAATTTTACTTACAATATAATTAAAGTTTAAATTTATTTCAACCCGTGAGAAGCTTATAAATTTTATGTTTAATCTCGAATTATTTTTTACCTTAATGACGAAATATTTAGAGATTTTCTATTTTGTGCCAAAACAACTGTTTATTAGAATTTTATTTTCATTATTTTTTAAATTTTTAAATAATTTTAAAATGTTTTTAGAATTTTATGTGTTATAAAGTTTTATTAAAGATTAAATTAATTATTAACATATTTTTCTTTCACTCTTTAATTGATTAAGTTTTGTTCATATTTTTTACGATTTTAGTTAATATAAGATTTATTCATTTTTAGGTATTTAATGTAAATAACTAAATTATTTTTAATTTAATTTTTTCTATAATATTGTTTAAGTAGTTAATCCACTATGAATCATGATGTCATATGTATTTATTAATTTTTTTAAAAAAATTTCTGAATTAAAAAATTATTTACATATTAAATTAATATTGTATCATATAATAATATCACGTCACGTGTCAAGTATAATGTTAAAATATAATTCAAATAAAATTAGATCCATTTTTCTAGAAAATATATTTAAATAAAGAAATTCTATCTTTCTAGAAAATAAATTTAAATGAGTTCCATGAAAGTATAACTTTTACAAATTATTTTAAATTAATTTCAATTTCATAGATCTAAATGAAAAAAATTTAAAAAATTCTTCAATTATTAATATTTCTTTTATTAATAATTTTATTTTAATCACTTAAATTTTAGAAAAAAAAATCAAATAAAATTTAATAACATAAATTAGGAAAAAATATTGTTTTCTAAATTGATACGTTATATTTATATCCACTCCCGTTAACGAATGAATAATTAAAATACTCATATCAATTAACATTCAGCGAATTTTATCTACAAATATTCACATATACAAATTTGTTTTATCATCTCTTACCATTATATTCCAACACTAAATTCTCTCAGTAGACCAGAATCTCAAAACACCTCTCCTACATGTTACATAATGTAAATAAAAATTCCTTGTCTAACATGAAAAATACACACATAAATTAAAAATAATATAAAATACATAATACACCGATAATAAGGATTAGTCCACTTACAAAAATGTATAATGGACAAAAGAATTCTAATTAGGAAAAAAAAAAACAAGAAACTCCAAAATTAACCATCAAACATAAACATAATGAACACTCCATCCCCAAAACTCTGCTAACCAGTTATTTTAATCCCAAACCTAAGAA